GAATCAGATCCTGAGAGGCCTCATTGCATGGGTGAGCAAAAAAGAGGGCAAGCTGGAATCTCTGGTTTGAAAATGGGAGCACAGGTGATGTTCCAAGTGTGCAGATACACACTTTCCTTCCGGCTCCATTTTGTTAGTATAAAACACCTGCTAAGTAGGTCACTGCTCCCTCTCTTTGACTTCAGCCTTTGGGCATTCAGAAGGTGACCCTGATTTCCTTCTGAGATCTTCTTACATTTAGCACGCTGATAATTTTAAACGAAACAGTACATAACAGTCTTCTGTCAGATCCATTCAAATGGTCTCATTTAATTTAAGTTCATCAATGTAAATGGAGGGTCCCTGTGTCTTACATGGTATCAGATGGAATGGGGGCACAAAAAAAGAACAAGGTATAGGCGCTATCTTTATAGAACTTCAATCTATGTAGCACGCCTATATTTTACTGAATGAAAAAACATTGTCATATTAAAGAGATTGCAACTAAAATTCCTCTTTGAAAAGTAGTATTTATTTAAGATAGCACTTTAATAAATGCTAGAAGGCAAAAAATGAACACCATCCACCCTCCCCCCCAAGGAATCCAGGTATGGGTTGGATGGCTCTGTATGAGAAAGGGAGAAGATAGTCCTCTTACAGAAATAGGAAGAGAAGCCAAGCTTGGAGGTATACATCTATAATCCCTACACTCAGAAGGCAGGAGGATCATGAGTTCAAGGCCAGAGTGGGCTACATAGCAAGACCTTATCTCAAAAACTAAAATAATACATAACAAAAACCCCAACAAGATAAAACAAAGAAAAACAGAAAAGAAATAAGAAGGAGATAAAGGTCTGGTCTGAGCCTATTGGATGGTGAAGGCTGACTGGTTCACAATGAAGTCTGTTCCTCGTGACCCTTCAAATTCTCGGTAGAGATTTAAACCACAGAATTCTTGCTTTAGGGTTGCTTTTGTTGTTTGTTTTTGATTGGTAAGGGGACTGAACTTTGCACCCAAGGCAGCACAGAGTAGAACAAGTGATGCTATAGAAGGAAAGACTTAAGAAGACCATGAGAAATTATTTCCAGAAATTACGGACTCCTGTGGGCATGGAGTCCCTGATATTTAATTTCCATAAAAATATCAAAATTAGATAATAGTACCAAATGGATGAACACCAAAGATGCAAATACTTAGGCCTGCTATGTAGATAGGAGACTAAACCATAAGCAAAGGATCAGACAGAACTGAAGCATCTCTGGACATCAGTGAGGAGTCTTTTGGACTTGACATCAAACATATCAACCAAGGAGAAATTACTGAGCATCTATTATCTGCTAAGTACTTAGATAGCTACAAAAGAAGTACTGTGTAAGAGATGGTCTTTCTCTCTTTGTGTGAGGTGTAGCTCAAGTAGTAGAGCACCTAGCAAGTGTGAAGTCCTGAGTTCAAACCCCAGTACCTAAGAAAGAAAGAAAGAAAGAAAGAAAGAAAGAAAGAAAGAAAGAAAGAAAGAAAGAAAGAAAGAAAAGAAAGAAAGATGGTCTCTGACCTCCAAAAATTGAGCTGCTAGTTCGGAAACAGTTGATATTTATTGACCACATAATGGATTCCAAACATTGATCTGAACACTTTCCATACATTATTGCATTTGTTCATCAGAACAGCTCTGTGAACTGAGTCCTGTTATGTTCATTCTGTGGATGTGGAAACTGAAGCCTCAGAGGGCATGACAGCTTCTCTGAGGCACACAGCTATTAAGTGGTATATCCAGAATTTAAATCCATCTATCTGGTTTAAATACTACCAGTTAAAATGGTCTTCATGGCAAAGATATTCTTGCCAAACACAGGTTCTAAGATATAGAACATAAATCACAGGTGCTATAAGGGTCTAAGGAAGAGAGAAGAGTGAAAGCTGGGATAGTCAGGAAAGATGACACCAGGAAGGAAATAGTCTGAGTATCAAGACTGGCCAAGCATGGCAGACAACTAGAGGTGCACTAGGAAGGACAGTGTGGGGTAGAGCACCTGTTGGATGGGCGATAGAGAAGGGATGTGTTGGTCACTCAGAGAGCCTGGGGCCCAAGAGGTCTCCCGGGCAGTAGAGCCTGCCAACTTTCCTAGTGAGGACCCCATCTCCAGAGACTCAATCACAAACTGCAGAATCTGCAGTTCTCATCTCACTCACCCACTTCTTCCACTGACACTTTCTGGGACTCTAGGTAGATTTGTCTGAGGTTCAGTTTCCCCCACAAAAATTGGGTGAAGTTCTTTGAAGGCTTTATTCAAGCATGTGGTTCTATAACTTACATTCCTCAATAGATCCACGTTTATATCCAAAGATGAGGAGATATCTTAGAGTTGATGAACTACCTTTCAAGATTATGGCCAGCTTTTCTCTGAGATCTGTATGGAGAGGAATATGCTGGTCATTTATGTCATGGTATAAGAGTAGAAAATTAATTTCATCCTCCTGAGATTCTGAAAAAACAGAGAGGGCTGGTGCTGTCACCTCAGGGCTCAGTCACGTGCCTATCATTGGTATATGTGAGAAAGAAGGCAGCAAAATTGCCAACAGCTGCCAGGAGAAAGGTGGGCCTGGCGGGCATTACTGATGCAGGATTGTCACTTGACATTTTCCAGTTAGTTGGTTTTGGCCTTTTTTTTTTTTTAATCTCAAATGAAATTTTGGAGAAATATCTTTTTTAAGTGATATAAATGGCTGAGATGTTTGTTCTCAAAATAACTGTTATTTTAGAAGTTTCCAAAATAAGGGCTGGGGACATAGCTCAAGTGGTACAGCACCAGCCTAGCAAGCACAAGGTCATGAGTTTAAAACCCAGTACCACCCTCCTCACCAAAAAAAAAAAAAGAGAGAATTTACCAAAATACACATGATAGACAAGAAAGAGGAAATAGTTTCAAAATAGTAACTTTGCTGGACCAGTTCCATGGGCTGCTGGCTCTACTTCTTATCTTAGTATTGGGGCGGTTTCTCTGTGGGTACCTAGTGTTGACACCATAAACCCTGAGCCTCTCAGACCCTCTCTCAGACACACAAACATCCCTCAGAGGTTTCTTGCCATTGTAAGTCATTCAGAGTAGAGTAGTTCACAGGCACTCTGGCCTCAGCAAAGATTCCAAATTCCATCTTTATACAGTCAGAAATCTTTAGAACTGTCTGTGTATCCCTAACTTTTGTTTGTTTGTTTTAAGATGGGGTTTGCTGCATAGCCTAGGCTGCCTTCATCTCCCTAGTGCTAAGATTATAGGCATGCACTACCACACCCAGGTCCCTTGCTTTTTGATCAAGATCATATGACTGTTGAAGTTGGTAAAGAAGAGAGGCTATAATGAAACCTGTAATCAAAGTCAGTTCAGTGAGATTTCCTGATATATAAAAAGCTTGAAATGAAAAAGAATGTTTTCAAACTCAGAAGGAAATTTCTGTGTAGTTGTCAGACTGGAGGCCCACTTGCACCTTGGCAGGATGCCTTATCAGTTCAATGAGGTTTTAGTCTATGTTTTGGTAAGTTCTATAAACATCTGAATTGTGTCTGCAATTACTCTGTTCCTTTATAACCTAATTCTTCCTTCCTTTCCACTTCCTCCCAACAGTTCCCTCACAGCTCCAACAATAAGCAAGTTGATTCCACAACTATCTTTATAGGAGACCCTTACACATTGATGTTAATGCCTGGGGCCAAACGATTTAGAAACTCAGTGCTATTAGTTAGAACCCTGGTGCTTTAGATGGGGCCTCACTGATCATTATCCTGCTGTAACTCTCTCCAAGTCTAGGAGTCTCTCTGACTCCCCAAGAAGTCTGTCGTGAGCATTCAGCCATGTTTCTACTCCTAGATCAAGCTCTAGTTCTTTTTACTTTTTTGGTGTCTTGGGGGTTTGAACTCAGGGCTTTGTGCTTGTAAAGCAGGCATGCTACCACTTGAGCTACACCACTAGTCCATTTTGGTCAGGTTGTTTTAGAGATGGGGGTCTTATGAACTTTTTGCCCAGATTGGCCTCAAGTTGTAATCCACCTGATCTCAGCCTCCAAAGTGGCTAGGATTACAGATGTGAGCCACCAGCACCTGGTAAGCTCTGGTTCGTGATGTTCTCCATGCCTGCTTCCTTACCCATAAAATGGGATAATGAGATTATCTACCTTGTAGAATTACTGTGAGGGTTAAACACAACGTCCACTGTACTACGTGTGTACATTATATACGCTATGTCCTAGTGGATTAGTACTCTGTGTACACTACACACTAGCAAAAAACACCTGACCTTTTTAAATCACTCAATAATTGCCTGTTATTACCTTACTGAACTACAGTAGGTTCATTCACTATATCCCCTGACTAAAAGTATTTGGTAAAGTGGCTAAAGGAGAGAATGATGGCTCTCTGGTTTGGAGCCTGGGTAAGCCTGGCTAATTTTAAATACCACAACGATTTAGAGGAAAAACTACATGTTTTTCTTTCAGTTCAGGTCTGGTGGGTTCAAGATAGTTATTTGCATGGGAGGACAATAATAGCACTATTATGTTTATTTTTTTAAAAAAAAGAAAAGCAAATTTCTTCTTCCCAGTGTCTCATGAGAATGGGGTAGGGATATGGAAACAACACATGAAACCATCATGTTCTTTTTTACCCAAAATGGATACAGGACACACTAAAAATTTTAAAATAGGGAAACAGGGCAGAGAGATTGACTTAGGAGGAGCAAAGATAAGTTAAATTTAGGTATGTGGTTATTAGTGCGAAAATAAAACATTTTAATAGAGAAATCTTTGTGAAAATTAGGAATATGAAAGTCAGACATAGTAAGTGAAATTAGAATAAGAAAATAGATATGGCAATCTTCCATGGTATAAAGCTTGTCAGCAAAGTTCTGTAGGCAAATGTGTCCCAGGGAGAGGATGTAGAAACAGAACATGAGGCCCAGTCTTCTTACTTCTGTGTAGGTTGTTTTCAAACTACAGTGCTTTTGAGATTGACCTTTGACTTTCTTTTCAGGATCAAGACAATGGGGACTATATGCTGGGCTATTCTTAGGAGGCATCGTGGGTGTCGTCATGATTATCGAAGTGGTAATACAACTGTTGAGTAGAAGAGGTAAGTGTCTGACAACACCGAGATTCTTATTAGACTCCCTGCTGTGAGCAGAGGACCTTTCCCCACAAGTGCAGACTTGTTCTCGCTACCTTAGCTTTCTGCCCAGGGCCACCTTTGAAAAATACTAAACAAATACCTTGGGCTGTAGCTCAATTAGGTACAATTCAATGTGTCTTCATCACCAATACCAGGCCTTAAGGAAAGAGATACAAGTGCCTAATGTGGAACACATTTGCAGAGTATTTCAGTTCAGTACTGTCGCTGAACTACGTACAGGATGCTGCAGGGATACAGAAAAGAGGCTTAATACTTTTCACTAGGACGGAAAATTCAGGAAGTTCAGAGGATCTTCTACAAAACGTCTGCCAGGATAGACTGAAATCAGTAAGGCCCGATTATTCCCCAGCAGTTTAAGTGCTTAGAAGTAGTATCTTGGCCTCTCCTTCGAATTGCCCTTGATTCAGTATCTCAGGACAATGTGCCCTTGGCCGTACTGACTACCACTTACCCACATGGGAGTCAGAACGTCTTGACCCACGACCAGGACAGAGGCCCTGGCTGACCTTGTCATGGTCAGGGTAGAACTTGATGCTCATATCACCCAGCTGATGGCTGATCTCATTCTCGGTAGATGAATGCTGTCCACACAGTCTTCTTACAAAAGCCCTTACCTCAGCACTCCGTGTCGGTTTTGCTTATATAAGAAAATCTGCATCACAGCACAGCTTCCTACCTCTGTCTCATTTCCTCCATCTAAAAGTTCACTGGGGAGGAAGTGGGGGAAGAGTGGGTGATTCAGACAGAAATTCAGACAGAAATTCAGTTGAGAGCCTAAGGGCATGGTGGTGAAGAGCAGACACACTTGGCTTCTATTATAAGGAAACAGCGAGCTACCAGGGATGAGAAAAGTGATTTTAACTCACCCACAGTAGCTTAGCGAGCGAAGGTGCTGGAGTTCTAATCCCCATTCTTTCCTCAACTGCATTCTGCTCAGCACAAGGCTGAACTCTGAAGGTGGTGGTGTCCCCCATCGCACCACAGTTGCCCACCCCTCCCTCAACACACACATCCATCCTCATCTCCAGTCACTGTTTATTCCTTCCAAGCCAGCAACACAAATCTCTGCCTCAAACCTATGGCAAAATCTACATTCAGTTGCTATACCCTCCATGAAACGTTGCTCAAGAGATTCTGTTGACAACTTTTAATGCTGTCATCTCCAGAATGCAGCCTGACTCTGAAGATTTTCAGATTGACTCTGGCCTCATGGCCAGGAGAACACACTGGTTAAGAACCTGGGCTTTGGACCAGGTGTCGTAGCACACCACAATTACTTAGGAGGCTGAGCAGAAGGACCACTCCAACCCAGGAATTCGAGAGCAGTCTGGGTAACACAGTGAGACCCATCATCATTGCAAAACAAACAAATAAATGTAAATAAGCAAAAAGAAGTTGGGCTTTGGCATTAGCAAATATTCACATGCAGACTTTGCTACTGATGAGCTCATCACTCATCACTCATCTGCCAAATGGGGATAATTTCACATACTTTATGGTATAGTTGTGGGGATTGGTAAGTCAATACAAGAAAGCACTAGACATCGGGGCTTCCATGGATGATAGAGGATAGCTAGATACATACATACATACATACATACATACATGCATACATATATACATGCATAGACGCACAAATGTCTTGTAGGTGAGTTAAAATGTCAATGTTTACGTCTTATAGACAGTAGAGAGCTGTACTATAAACAGTACCTGAAGTAGTGATAACATAAGATAACTTCATCCTTCAGATAATAGCTGAAAAAGACATTAGACAGGCTATACTCTTATTTTACAGTAGTGGTAAGAGAAAAGGCTGATTGAGATGACTTGATTTGCCCAAAAGCCACATAGCTAATGATGATGCCCTAATTCTAAGATCAAGATCTTTTTCCTTCTTTTTTTTTGGTGCTGGGATTTGAACTCAGAGCCTACACCTTGAATCGCTCCACCAGCCCTTTTTTGTGATGGGTTTTTTCAAGATAGGGTCTTGCAAATTATTTGCCTGGGCTGGCTTTGAACCACTATCCTCCTGATCTCTGCCTCCTGAGTTGCTAGGATTTACAAGTGTGAGCCATCGGCACCTGGCTCCAAGATATTTTTCATTAGATCCTAAGACCTTGATAACTTTGAGCTGAGTAGAGCTGACTCGTGACAACATGGTTTTGCACTGAAAAAAACCTGAGGCCAAATTATCTTGACCCAGTGATCTTTTTTGAGTCAGACTCAGTTTTTCCATCTCACTGATCAGTTAGGGCTGTCCTCCCAATTCTAGATTTCATCCGAACTGACATGCAATATGTCCCTAAAGACTAAAGTTTGCTCTTTATTTGTATCCCCAGCATTATCTATGAGAGTGCTGGGCAGACAGGTCTAACTTTTGCAAATACTCGTGGATTTGAACTGAGAGGGTATATTGCACAGAACTACCTTGCACCCGTCTGCTTTTGGTCCACCCCTGAGCCCTATCCTCCATCTCCATCTCTCTCTCTCTCTTTCTCTTTCTCTCTCTCTCTCTCTAAAAAGTGGAGTTGGAGCCATCAGGTGTGCCGTGCCTATGCCCACACAGGGCAATCACACATCAACTTCTGTAGAATCCCTTGTACTTCTTTGGTGGCCGCCCATCATTTCCTCCCCGAGATTCACACCCTCCTGCATACAACCCACCATGTTCACTACACACACACTTGGCCTTTCCTTTCCAACTAAAATTACACTTCTCCCTAACGCTATTCCCTCAGTGATGTGCTCCCTGCTTTCTAAGATGAGTTAAAACAAGTTTATCTTCCATTGCCTCTGCCCGGACCTTGCAGTAATGCCCTTAAAGTCCTCCATGCTTCAGTCTGTGTGTTCCACCATCCTTCATGTTACATGATGTATGTGAAGGATGAACTGTTAGAATGACCAGGTCCACTGCCCAGCATGAAAAATGTCCTAAACGCATTTTACGTGAAAAGCTCAACTTATAGAGAAATATGATTACAATGACACCATTTATGGAAAAAAATCCATATAAGTACAGCAAATATCCGGGACTACACTGTCCAATATGTAGCCACTAGCCACACGTGGCTAGTTAAATTTCAATTAATTTGAATGAAACAAAATGCAAAATGCAGTTTCTCAGTTGCATTAGTCACAGTTCCAGCACTCAGTTGCTAGCTGTGGCTTGTGGCTGTGTTAGATCAGGCCAATATAGAACATTTCCATTATCCCAGAAAGTACTGTTACACAGAGCTGGTCTAGAAGCACACACACCCAACTTTTAAAAGTGGTCACTTCTGAGAACGAAATTGGGTTGGTTACTGAGGAAGAGGGAATTATGATTTTTGCTTTATGCATTTTTATAGTTTTAATTTTTATAAGGAGAATGAGTTACTCTTATAACTTAAAAAGAAAACTTTAAAACTTGGCTAAGTATTCAGCAGTTTTTGCAAGTTATTCATTTACAGAGATCCTAGGCCCTGAGCAAATTTTCCAGATATGAGCACTAAAATGACATCGTAGTTGTATTTTCCAAAAGTCCCCGTGGGTCTTTCCTTCCATTACCTCCTGCACCACCACCACACATACATCAAATCCTCCAAAATAAGGAGGTGAGAAAGCTTGTGAGTGAAGCAACGTCTCCCTGCTGGAGAATACAAATGAATTATAAATAACCAGCCCTTCTCTCAAATGATTTAGGATCCTGTTAGAAGACCAAATATGTACACAAAACAATAAAGGTTAAAATAATTGAGTGGCCCACCAAGGAGAATCACACCCCACATGTACTGGGTATTTACTCTATGTTAGGCACTGTTCTAAACACTTGACAAGTAATATCTCACTTAACTAGCACAATAGCCCGGTGAGACAGGTATTTTGATTCCATCTCACAGGTAGGGAACAAGACTAGAAAGATCAAGTAACTTACTCCATGTCATATGACAAATGTGCAGGGCTGGGATTCAGTGTCTCGTTCCTGTGGTAGTCTGGGGCAAGGTGGACATGCAGTGGCAGTGGGGAGGGGGTAAAGAGAACACAGGGCTTATGAGGGATCAGAAAGAAATAACCACTATTATTTTTCTTCTCCAGGTAAAGCAAACCACTTCCAACCACCAAAGGAAGAAAAAAGTCTTACTATCTATGCCCAAGTCCAGAAATCAGGTGTAAGTCCTGCACTTTCCTTGGGACGTATCTGCCGTGTTTCTCACAGGGTCTCTGGCTGGCCCACCTTGTGTGTCTACATTCGTGATTCTGCATGGGTTCTAGAGCAGATGAATTTAGGGAAGTAGAGGTCAAGAACAAGAACTCTCCTAAAGGTCACTAAACCAGCATCATGTGAGACTGCTTATTATTTGAAATAATGGGAAACACTAGGTAATCTTTTGGTCATCTATTTCTTCTGAGAAAACAAAAATGAGGAAGCTGTAAACATATGACATATTAAGCTTTCTAGCTCTGACACCCGAGGAGTCTGCAGCTCCATGTTCCTTAACACCCTTCTCTAGGGAAAAGGGAGTGGGTTTAAGGAGCGAAGGAAAGGTTTAGAAAAGCTATTGTGTGATATGTTGGCTTGATCCAAGTTTAAGTGTTTGTAAAGTGCCTAGGAGACAAGAGAGGGAGGATCTTGAGAATTCTAGTTAGAGTGTCATTGAGATGGAAGAGAATGTCTGCCTTGGAGATGAAAGAAAGCAAAAGGTGGTAGAATGACTCTTGGACTAAGAAGAGAGTGATGGGGGCCAGATACAGTGGATCATGTCTGCATCGCAGGTACTCAGAGGCAGAGACTGGAAAGATCATAATTCAAGGCCAGCCCAGGCCAAAAAAGAAAGAGAGAGAGAAAGTGAGAGAGAGAGAGAGAGAGAGAGAGAGAGAGAGAGAGAGAGAGGAAAGGCAGGCAAGAAGGAAGGAAAGAAAGAAGGAAAAAAGGAAGGAAGGAAGGAAGGATGGGAAACAAAGAATTCCATCTCAACAAACAAGCTGGATGTGGTGGTACATATCTATAATTCCAGTCACACAGGAGAAGTAGATAGGAGGGATCACAGTCCAAGCCTTGACCCAGGCAAAAAGTGCAAAATCCTATCTAAAAAATAACTCAAATGCAATGGAGGGGTAGCAGTTCAAGTGGTAGAACACTTGCCTAACAAGTCCAAGGTCCTGAGTTCAAAACTAAAGCAATAAGAAGAACAAGAAGGGAGTGATGGGGAAACTTGACACAAGATGGAGTTGAGGAACAAATATACTAGAAGAGATAGAGAGGCTAAAGGATTTGTTATAAATGGAAATATTGTAGTTTGTCAAATATAAAGTTAATTCCAGGTGATTTATAGGCCAGAAGCTGAGGAGGCAGATTCTGGAATAGAGATAAATACAGCTTTGACTAGTACTTTGGAAAATTATATCAGACAATTCATTTCCAAGTTAGGTTCTTGGACAAAGCTCTCATTTCTACTGTCTCCCAGTGGTCTGCAGGTTTATTACGCAACTAATGGCCCCCTATGGAGAACGACCTTCCATTAAATATATGACAGCCCCAAGAGCACTCACCTCACCCCTGCACTTACATTTCAGGTAGCCAGGCTCATTTTTCCCATTGGTGTCTTCCCTATCTACTGCATCCCTTGTTGCAAGCGTCCTCTTTTTTACTGTAAAGCATGACACATATACAAACAAGTGCACAGTACACGAGATTTCAGCTCAGTGAGTTACTTTTAAATGCCCATCCTGATACCCAGTAAAGCAAGTGTTCTCATTTTGTTTTTCTTCAAGAGTTTTTGACTATTCTTGTCCTTTTGTATTTTCATGCATAAATTTTAGCATCAGCTTCTCACATACTACAAAAAGTAAAAATTCTTATAGGATTATATCAAATCTACTGGCCTATTTGAGGAGAAATGACGTCTTTCAGTGTTGAGTCTTCTAACAACCATAAAACAGCACCCGGATCAAGGAGCAGAACATTGCTGGTGCCTCCATAGTAGCTCCCAATCATGACTCCTTCTCTGTACCCCAAAGATAGCCATTGTCCTAAATTCCAGAAATATAATTTAGTTTTTTTCTTCTTTTTGAAATTTATTGAAATAAGAATCTGTCATGATTTTCCTCTTGTGTCTGATTTCTCTTGCTTAATATTATCTTTCTGAGATTCATGTATGTCTTTCTGATTAGGTATAATACATTTATTTTCATTGCTTTATAGAACTCCAGTGTGTGGATATAGTAGAGTTTATTTTTCCAGTTGACTGTTGATGGGCATTTGGGTTATTTCCAGTTTGAGGTCATTATGAAAATCACAGCTATGAGCATTCATGTGCATATTTTCTGGTGGATGTGTGCACACATTTCATTGGGCATATACCTAGAAGTAGACTGGCTGAATGATACCTTATACATATCCTCAAATGGTCTGAGTAAGATCATGTTGTTTTGCAAAGTGGGTGTACCCAGTTATTTTTTGATAAATGAATTTCAAATGCTACACAAGATAAAATTTGGTATTATCAACCTTCTTAATTTTAGCAATACTGTTGGATGTGTCTTATGGTTTTATTTTACATTTCTCAAAGTACAAAGGAAGCTAAACAACTTTTCGTATATTTATTGGCTATATTAAAATCCTCTTTCTTAAAGTGACTAGTAAACCTTTGAACTTGAGACCCTTTTAATGGTTAGTATAAGCTTTGCACACATTTGAATATGAGTCCTTTGGCAGTTACAGCCACAGCGTTTGTGACTTGCCATTGCAATTTCTCAGAGATACCTACTAATACAGAGAAGTTCTTAATTTCAATGTAGATCAATTCAGTAATCTCTTCCTTTATAGTGTCATAAAGGAAGTATTATTTTCATTTCTGGCAAAGTGAGTCTTCCCACTCATTTTTGTGCCCTGTTTAAGGAAGTTTTCTCTATTCCTAGGTAACTCAAAAAGAACGTTTATAATATCTCACCATTTAAGTATGATTTTTTCTGAAGACTTTTTGTAGTAGCTTTTCTTTAAAAAGAAAACACATTAAGATAGAAAATGTTCTTCTATCATCTTCTAAAAGCCTTGTGGTTTATCTTTTATATTTATATCTGTTATATACCTGAAAAAGATTTTGGACTTTGGTATAAAGGTCAAGTAATTTTCATTTTTTCTGGGTGGATGTCCTACTGACCATTGATTAAAAAGATCATCCTTACCCCACTACAGTGTTATTTTTTTTCTTTTTTTTTAAATTTTATTATTCATATGTGCATACAAGGCTTGGGTCAGTTCTCCCCTGTGCCCCCACCTCCTCCCTTACCACCCACTCCGCCCCCTCCCTCTCCCCCCCCACCCCCTCAATACCCAGCAGAAACTATTTTGCCCTTATTTCTAATTTTGTTGAAGAGAGAGTATAAGCAATAATAGGAAGGAATAAGGATTTTTGCTGGTTGAGATAAGGATAGCTATACAGGGCATTGACTCACATTGATTTCCTGTGCGTGGGCGTTACCTTCTAGGTTAATTCTTTTTGACCTAACCTTTTCTCTAGTTCCTGTTCCCCTTTTCCTATTGGCCTCAGTTGCTTTAGTTTCTCTGCGTTAAGGGCAACAAATGCTAGCTAATTTTTTAGGTGTCTTACCTATCCTCACCCCTTCCTTGTGTGCTCTCACTTTTATCATGTGCTCATAGTCCAATCCCATTGTTGTGTTTGCCCTTGATCTAATGTCCACATATGAGGGAGAACATACGATTTTTGGTCTTTTGGACCAGGCTAACCTCACTCAGAATGATGTTCTCCAATTCCATCCATTTACCAGCGAATGATAACATTTTGTTCTTCTTCATGGCTGCATAAAATTCCATTGTGTATAGATACCACATTTTCTTAATCCATTCGTCAGTGGTGGGGCATCTTGGCTGTTTCCATAACTTGGCTATTGTGAATAGTGCCGCAATAAACATGGATGTGCAGGTGCCTCTGGAGTAACAGTCTTTTGGGTATATCCCCAAGAGTGGTATTACTGGATCAAATGGTAGATCAATGTCTAGCTTTTTAAGTAGCCTCCAAATTTTTTTCCAGAGTGGTTGTGCTAGTCTACATTCCCACCAACAGTGTAAGAGGGTTCCTTTTTCCCCGCATCCTCGCCAACACCTGTTGGTGGTGGTGTTGCTATTGATGGCTGTTCTAACAGGGGTGAGGTGGAATCTTAGCGTGGTTTTAATTTGCATTTCCTTTATTGCTAGAGATGGTGAGCATTTTTTCATGTGTTTTTTGGCCATTTGAATTTCTTCTTTTGAGAAAGTTCTGTTTAGTTCACATGCCCATTTCTTTATTGGTTCATTAGTTTTGGGAGAATTTAGTTTTTTAAGTTCCCTATCTATTCTGGTTATCAGTCCTTTGTCTGATGTATAGTTGGCAAATATTTTCTCCCACTCTGTGGGTGTTCTCTTCAGTTTAGAGACCATTTCTTTTGAAGAACAGAAGGTTTTTAGCTTTATGAGGTCCCATTTATCTATGCTATCTCTTAGTTGCTGTGCTGCTGGGGTTCCATTGAGAAAGTTCTTACCTATACCTACTAACTTCAGAGTATTTCCTACTCTTTCCTGTATCAACTTTAGAGTTTGGGGTTTGATATTAAGATCCTTGATCCATTTTGAGTTAATCTTTTTTTTTTCCAAAAACGGTTTTATTAAAATTTACTCTCATCAGCAGTATACCAGCGCTCTCTTCTTGCTATATACATGTCCTCTCAAATGCAGGTTATCCTTCACCTTCTTTTTTATGGGGTTGGGTGTAGAGGGAGGACTGGGGATTGAATTGAGTTAATCTTGGTATAGGGTGATATACATGGATCTAGTTTCAGTTTTTTGCAGACTGCTAACCAGTTTTCCCAGCAGTTTTTGTTGAAGAGGCTGCTATTTCTCCATCATATATTTTTACCTCCTTTGTCAAAGACAAGTTGGTTATAGTTGTGTGGCTTCATATCTGGGTCCTCTATTCTGTTCCACTGGTCTTCATGTCTGTTTTTGTGCCAGTACCATGCTGTTTTTATTGTTATTGCTTTGTAATATAGTTTGAAGTCAGGTATTGTGATACCTCCAGCATTGTTCTTTTGACTGAGTATTGCCTTGGCTATTCATGGCCTCTTGTGTTTCCATATAAATTTAACAGTAGATTTTTCAATCTCTTTAATGAATGTCATTGGAATTTTGATGGGAATTGCATTCAACATGTAGATTACTTTTCGGAGTATGGACATTTTTACTATGTTGATTCTACCAATCCATGAGCATGGGAGCTCTCTCCACTTTCTATAGTCTTCCTCAATTTCTTTCTTCAGAAGTGTATAGTTTTCCTTGTAGAGGTCTTTCACATCTTTTGTTAGGTTTACAACTAGGTATTTGATTTTTTTTTGAAGCTATTGTAAATGGAATTGTTTTCATACATTCTTTTTCAGTTTGCTCATTGTTAGTGTATAGAAATGCTAATGATTTTTCTATGTTGATTTTATATCCTGCTACCTTGCTATAGCTATTGATGATGTCTAGAAGCTTCTGAGTAGAGTTTTTTGGGTCTTTAAGGTTAGATACCACATTTTCTTAATCCATTCATCAGTGGTGGGACATCTTGGCTGTTTCCATAACTTGGCTATTGTGAATAGTGCTGCAATAAACATAGGTGTGCAGGTGCCTCTGGAGTAACCTGTCTCACAGTCTTTTGGGTATATCCCCAAGAATGGTATTGCTGGATCATATGGTAGGTCAATGTTTAGCTTTTTAAGTAGCCTCCAAATATTTTTCCACAGTGGTTGTACTAGTTTACATTCCCACCAACAGTGTAAGAGGGTTCCTTTTTCCCACATCCTCGCCAACACCTGTTGTACAGTGTTATTTTTTAAATCATAACTCAAAGGTCCCTATATGTGTGATTATATTTTAATTTCTTATTCTGCTCCACTGATCTGTTTGTTTATACTTGTCCCAGTGCCATACTGCTTTTGTTTGTTTTCTCCATAAATGCGTCTATGTGCGTGTTTTGTTTTTTAGACAGAGTTTCACTATGTATTCCAGAATGGCCTCAAATTTGTGATCCTTCTACTTTAGCTCCCTGACCACTGGAATTACAGGCATGCACCACCATGCCTGGCCATACTGTCTTAATTACAGATTTATTATAAATTCTGGTATCTGGCAAAATGAGTCTTCTCACTTTTTCTTTTTCTTCAAAAGCTCTTGACTATTTTCATCTTTTGCATTTTAATATGTATTCTAAAATAATATTTTGTTAAACACCCCCTCAAGATCTCCTACTAAGAATATATTAGACACATATTTATTATATGTTGATTTGAGGAGAGTATACATGGTTATTATATTGAGCCTTTCAATTCACATAAATTGGTATTTCCCTTCCTTTCTTAAAATCTTCTCTAAGATTTAAATGATGCTTTCTAGTTTTCTGAATAAGAGGACTTTACATCCTTTATAATTTACTTGGAATTTGTTATTTTGTGATACGATTACCAATGTTATTTTTTTTTCAAAAGTTTTGGTTTCTATTTATTATTGATATATAGAAATACAATTAATTTTTGTATATTTACTTTGTATCTGCAATATTCAAGATAACTTGGATTTCCTCTGTACACAATTGTATCTTCTGTAAAAAAATACTTTTATTTCCTCATTTACAAATCACAGAATTCTTGCTTTCTCTTACCCCCTTTTACCAGCTGAGATGTCCCATATGCTGGTGAATGGAAGGTGACAGTGGGATATCCTTGTAAAGTTCCAAACCTGAAAAGAAAGGTTTGAGTATCTCACCATTAAGTATGATTTTTGCTGAAGGGTTTTGGTAGTGGCTTTTTGATCACATGAAGAATATTGTCGGGGGTGGGGCTGTAGCCCGGTGTAGAGAACTGGAGCATGCATGGCACCAAAGTTTGGTTCACTGCAAAAGAGAAAAAAACACCACTGTCTTCTATTCCTGTTTGCTAGACATTTGATAATGAATCAGTGTTGAGCTTCTCAACACTCTACATCCATTGAGGTAATCTTATGGTTGTTTTTCTCATTTATCAGCTGGTATGGTGAGCTTTACTGATTTGCAGAAGTCAAACTCACTTTGCATTCCTGGAATAGAACCAATTTAGTTTGGTCCCTTAAAAATATTATTAGTAGATTTTTTTCTCTAATATTTTGTTAACAGTTTTTTCCACTTATGTGTCTGAGCCTATAATTCTTCTTTGTAATGACTTTGTAAGGTTTTGATATAAAGATTATGCTGATCTCAGGACTGCCATAACAAATTACTATAAACTTGGTGACTGAAAACAACAGAAATTTGTTCTCTAACAGTTCCAGAGCCAAGACCATATCAACTTCGAACACTCTTAGGAGAATCCTCCTTGCCTCTTTTTTTTTTTTGGCCCTCCTGGGGCTTGAACTCAGGGTCTTATACTTACTAGGCAAGCAGTCTGCCACACAAGTCACAACCCCAGTTCCTCCTGCCTCTTTCATCATCTTTTGGCTCCAGGCAGTCTGTGGCGTTTGTTGACTTAGGCTGCATTTTTAGCCTCTCTGCCTCCTTATCCATGTGATGTTCCTGTCTGCCTGAGTGCTGTCTCCTTTTTTGTTCCTTAGAAGGACGCTCAACACTGGATGTAGATCCACCCTAATTCAGGATGACCTCATTTTGAAGTTCTTACCTAAATTACATCTGTAAAGTCCTTTATTCCAAATGAAGTCAAATTCAGAGACTACTGGTGAACGTATTTTTTGGGAGTCATAATTCAATTCATTACAGGGTATAGTTCCTTTTTATAATTCTCTGCAAATGCTTAGGTAGGACTGATCTTGTTTCTCCCCTTAAACATTTGGCAGCATGTTTAAGTGATGGTCTCTGAGACTGGAGTTTCTCTGCTGGAGGATATTTTTAAAATGGTATTTTTCATTACTCCATTTTCTGCTCCATTACCTTAGTAATTAAATAACTTTTTCTATCCTTTTTGTGTGTGGGGGGGGGGGCCTGCTGTTTGAACTTAGGGCTTTGTGCTTACAAGCAGGCACTCTACCGCTTGAGTCACACCTCCAGCTCAACTTTTTCTATTCTCTTAGTGACTACCCTACAAATTATAAAAATGCATTCTTGACTTACTGATATTTGCTCCTTTTATTCTTTATATTCCACTATAATACCTTTACTCCACTGTAACTTAACCTCCATTTATGTGTTACTTTTTGGTTAGGATTTTAGTTTTATATATTTTAAATATATAAGATATCATTATTATTGTTTTATATGTTGATATATTTATATTTATAGTGCCTGTGATATATCATTGTAAAGACTATGGTAGACAATTATTCAAAAATTAACATTTTCTTTGTTCTTATTTGTAATGGCTATATAAAATCCTTATAAAAAACATAATAATGTGGAATATTATTCAATAGATGTTTACTATCTACTAGTAACTCTCCTAGGATGTATCAGGCTTACTGCCTTGCACAACTAATTCCAAGGGTCACCATTCATTCACAAAGAATATGTAAAAAGAATGCTCCTGAAGTTGCTTGTATATGAAAGCAAATATAAGTAACAATGATAATTGATGTTTGGCAATAATAAGGCAAATGAGATACACGTTAGGCCAAGGGATAGCAAGGACAGCAGAAACCTCAGCTTGGAGCTGAGTTCCAAGGAAGTTAGGGGAGAATTCCTACCTTGGAAGAAGATTGGACCAAATGACACAAGGAACTTTTCAACTTGAACAGCATTTAAATCTGTGTTCTTTGTGGGCTGGGAACTAGCTTTCTGCTCAGCTCATCTGCTTTCTTTGCTTCTCTTGCAGCCTGCTCAGAAGGAACCTGAGCCCCTGCCAGATCAGGATCCCTGCACAACCATTTACGTGGCTGCCACAGAGCCTGTCCTAGAGTCTATCCAGGTAAGGTATCTCTCTGTGCCTCCTCACTGTTGAGAGAGGAGAGGTGGAGGAACAGAAGGGGGAGGAAAATATTTTAGGTTTCAGGTAAAAATGAAATGAAACAGACTGATGAGCTCTGGACTGGAAAAGTCCACAGCAAGCAAGCAGCAAGGTATAGCCACAGCTTTGGTTTGGGGCTTCAATTGTGCCTCTCCCATGGAATAAGCTGTGGCTCACTTCCTACTGGCCATTGCTTCTCTGAAAGCCATCCAAGGATGACACCAGAATCAATGGAATATTTGTTAAAAATAAAGATTCCTGGGGCCTCCCAGGACTCTGCTAAATCCAGACATCTATGGAGAGTACCCATGGGGGTCTACATATCAACCTACACCGGGTGATTCTTACACACTTACATTTGGGTATTATACTTAGGTGCAGGAGTTCTCAGCATCATCTGAAAAACAGAATCACCAGGGAAGCTTTGGAAAGGTGCTCATGCCCTGTGTTGAAGTATCACACTGTACCCCATTTATAGGTGTGACTATTACACATTAATCAAAAAATTTAATTTAATTTTGAAAACTTTGTATACTCATTTAAAAATGCCCATGACTAGATGTTTACAGCCCCATTTAATCAGCATACTTAGGGGTGGAGCTTCTGCATAGGTCTTAAGCCTAGAAGAGAAGATGCTACATGACTGAGACTAAGACTTGCCTAGTCTACACCATTGCAAAATCAGCAAGGACCACATTTACTTCTGACAGAACTCTTTACTAAATGACCAGAAACAAATTCTGGGCTGAAACCCTGACTCCATTTGGGCTCTATTACCAAAGCATTCTAGGAGAAAGCCCAGGATTACAGAGACACAAAGGTCACCCAAATGCCTATACCCATCCCTCTTCTTCAAAGCTCCTCCTGTACACATGCCCAGATATGCCTGGCCAAGACCTCTATTTCAAATAGAACCTTACCTGGATGATCTATTCTCTCAGTGCTTTGTTATATCCAGGAGGGAAAAAATATATAAATCTAACTTCAAAAGCTTTAAAAAATAATACAGATTTTTAATTAAGTTTACTTGGGGAAGGAAAACTGTATATTTCACATTTACAGCAAAACTTCCTAAATTGCCCATTTCCTTCTCTTTCTTTCTCTGACTCCTTGCCCTGTGGGAGGTCTTTTCCAATAATCTTCTTCTCCCCTCCCTGACTCTCTCTTGGGTCTTGCTAGCTCTTTTTAAAGTTCAATAATTTAGTATTCTCTTGGCTTCTCCAAACTGTGCCCCATGCCTGAAGATGCTTTTCCTTACAAGGGAAGGAAAGAGGGCAGAGACAGAGACAGGGCAGTGAGTGCCAGTCTTCAGTAGGTAGGAGACAGGTCTCTAGGCTTATGCTTGGATGGGAGCTGTAGCCCTACTACATGCAGGCAGGGCAGCAGCCTGGGGACCTGAGTGCTGCTTCTGAATGCTCCATCTGTGACAGACCCATGGCAAGTTGCTATTCTCCATGAACTCTTTCCTTTTCCTAAACAATGCTACTTCATTCACTGTCTGTGAAATTTGTGCCCCATCCCTTGACTCACAGACTTTCTGTTTTTGCTCACAGGAACAAAATCCCATTACAGTCTATGCCAGTGTGACACTTCCAGAGAGCTGACACCATGGACTCTGCAAAGGGACTTTCTGCAGGAAGATGGAGGAACCAAACTAAACACTGAACTTGGCCTCAGTTCCCATGTTCTCTGTGACAGACAGTCTACACATCTGTCTCCTCTCAGATCAACTCCCTGGTGATGTATCGTCACACACACCTGTAAAATGGACAAGGATGTATGGCTCCCCAAATGTTTATCCTGTTCTTCAGCTGGCACTGATACCGAACAAAGAGCTACTTGATATGGTATTCCATCTTCGTGGTAGAGTAGACAAAATGAATAACGTGAGTCCAGATCTCCAGACATCTTGCTTTTTGCTGGAATGGATAATAAAGAAGACAGAGAGCCAAGACATCTAGTGCCTGTCTCAGAGAACTGGCCACCAGCCACAAAGTCTGGAAAAGTTTACATTTTGACTGTCTGTACTTTATTCTGGGAGCTGATCCTGTGGACCTGATTGAGGCTCTGTGCCTCATTTTCTCCCTCTGGATGAGGGGTGAAGAGTGAATTCTTTATTTTATGTAAAACACTCTGAGATTATTTTATAAAAGAAGCTAAGAGAATCAGTATTTTATTTGCAAAACTCAAGCTAAATAGTCAATAAACTGAAAATGACTTTGGGGTCTCTGAGTTTTGAACAGTAGAATGGAAGCCATCTAAGATTCTTAAAAATATAGTTCTGTGCAAACAGCATTCATCTTTAAAGAGAAAAGTGGCAAGGGTTGGGCAGTGCTATTATAAAGTAACTTGTGATACTCAGAGGACCTTGTCTCAGAGAGATTTTCCACTTCTCAAAATGATATTTGAATCTTAATTCTCTGTTTACTTCCTGAAACCTTAGTGAAGACTCTTTCCACCCTAGTTCTGAGCCCATTTTTTACCCCAGGAACTTCTGTGGAATTGCAGGTCAGAGTCTCTACCAGGTACTATCTACTCTTGGATCCCTTTCCTTCAAGTAGAAAATTAAATTATTTTGACCCAAAAGTTTCAAATAAATGTTCGATCACTTTGATACAGAATGCAGACAGGGTCTCTTTTAGTAAAGTTCTATTTTTCTTCTCAAAAAAAAAAAGCAGAGACTGCTTTTACACAGGCTATCTTTCAATTTAAGCATTTCTTTTTCTTATTGGTTCTTGTACAATCTTGATGAACACTTTAAGAATAACTATTGTACTGCTGTATAACAAAGAACACCAACTTTCCAGCTCAAAATTTGAAGGTCCTATTGCCTTATACCTTACTTCTATTCAGCCAATTCACATTTTAGGTTCTGTTGCTCTGTGCATCCCATTTCCTGGTACCAACTTCTGTAATAGGGTTGCAATCAACAGAAACTGACTTTGGATTTTTCATGTAGAAAAGAAACCTATTGCAAAGATATCAGTTGGTTCAAATAACAACTAGGACACTCCACAAAACCATCTTTGAAAGTGAGCAGGATAAAGAAAGAGTAGGCTGTGGCTAGGACCACAGTCAAGATTACAAAGCTAGTCTAGGGATGACAATCCTAGGCATCATAGTTTCAAGGCCACTGTGCCTAGCACTAGGCATGGACTCCACCACTGCCTTAATGTCTCTGCTGGACTTAGAAACTCATCATTACAGTTGTCGCTGCGTTTTCTGCCACCAAAATGAACACTCTAAGGTCTCTTCTTTATCTTTTCATCTCTAGCTTCTAATTCAAAGTCTGAGATTTAGGACTGACTGATCCTAGGTCACACATCCATGTCCTATGTTCAAAGGAGGCTGAGAATTGGATTATCTGACATATTCTACTTTTGGAGTGGTTGGTTGGTAGGTTCTATTTTTTAAGAATTATGAAGTTCCTCAAATAGAAGACAGTCTGGACAGGCCAAAAAAACATCATGCTGTTTAACATAGGTTCATTAGGTATCTGTTTTTAAAACTGTGGAACTACTAACAGAGATTGATAAACCCTGGAGTTATGAGCATTCATTCCCTTACTACAACTCAGATTTCTCTAGAACATCAGCTTCTGACACCAGTCTTCCCCCTACACACACCATCTCCTGTGGCAGAAACAAAGTGGGAAGGAGAGACTACCTGTCCAAAGTCTCTGAGACTGTGTCTTAGAGGGAAACTTTTGGGTCATTAATCCAACAATATTTGATATTATGCCTGCAACCTTAGGTCCAGGTTGCAGATGGGAAAGTGGAGAATTCTTTTCAGAAATGCTTTTGCCAACACTTCAGTCTTTTCTTTATGACAGCATGACATCGTGGTGAGCTGGAGCTTGCCTGAGGCTGAAAAGAACAAAGCTGAAACTTTAGAGTCAGAATTCCCCGTGTTTCTCTTCTAACATTGTTTTCTTTTGACCAAGCATACTAAATTCTGGAGAAGTCAGGAGGAACAGGCCCACTTTCGGTTTTAAGGGAATGATGTTCTGAAATACATCTGGACAGCGTTCCAGGTTTCTATAGGAGTCACACAGAGAAGATGCGATGGTTACAGGGTGCACATGTTGCCTGAGAAGCCACTGGGAGTTTATTCTCCTCCTGAAGTTTATGTTTCTGTTTTTTTTGAGACAAGGTCTTGTTATGTAGTTTAGGCTGTCCTTGAACTTGTGATCCTCCTGCCTCAGCCACCTGAATGCTGGCATTACAGGTGTGTACCACCACCATACCTGGCTTATATTTCTACTTTTTTGGAAATGATTAAAATATAGCCAATCCACCAAGAAAATTGTACTTTAGTATTGTGTTTCCTAGACATGTTTCATAGCCAGCGTCTCCACAACTTCAGTTATGAACACTGAAGGTAGCTACTTTGTTGTGAGATTTTCCCTTCCCTGGAGAGTGAACAAGGGCTAGCTTAGTGCTCACTCCACCAAAGCTCAGGAACCACCCTCTTCACATAGCATAGAACCATCTTTTAAGAAAGTTAAATTTTTGTCATTGTCAGAGTAAGTCCCTTCTCTGAACATCCCCAAATTCCCCTTGGGGAGAAATCTAGAACCAGATTTCTCAACTGCAACACTGTTGACATTTGGGACTGTTAAAGGTTTTGTCATGGGGGGTTAGTCTTCTCACCGGAGGATGCTTCACAGTATTCTTGGCCACTACCCACTGGATGCCAATAGCATATCTCTCATCCTAGATTATGCCAATCAAAAGTGTCTCTGTGGGATGGAGGTGTAGTTCAATGGTAGAGTGCTTGCAAAGCCTGGAGTTAGATCCTCAGCACTGGAGAAAACACTGAGAGGAGAGAGGAGAGAGGGAGGAACGGGAATATAATGGAGGGGGTGAACTTGTTCAAGGTACCCTGTATGCATGTATGGAATTATAATGAAATCCCCTTGTGCTATCAATGTATGGTAAATAAAAATATTTAAATGTCTC